GAGTCAGTATATTTAAAAACATCTCGGTACCATGCATTCGAATTAGTGTAAGACAGGAAAGGGAAGCGTTTATGTACAGCTTCAATGATCACATCTTTTTCTTCCGGAAATTTAGAAATCTTGATCATACCTGAAAGATGATTATCAGTCTTTTCGATTTGTGGGGATTCAGAAGTTATCCAGGGATCGAACCCAGTCTCTTCCGTATATGCTCTATATAAGCTCAAACGAATTTTATCTGACAAATGACTTGGTGAATCAACCAATTTAGCATGCCAGTTCAAATATTCGGGGGTTAAGGCTTTATCCATGTTATTGTTTTATATAATCGCAAATTCAAATTAAGTATGAGTTGTCTTTGTCTCGCTTATATAACAAGGATATTTACGTGCTATCACTCTGTGCATATCCCGAAATATTAATTAAAAAAAATAAATATAGTTAATATTTACGATCATTTGAAACCGGAGAATTCGAAGGCAGTATGTCTTTATTATTTATGCTGTTATCTCGATTTCATGCTTTCCACATATAATAAAATAGGATCCAGCTTCGTATCTACCTTTTACACTTTTCCCATCCTCATGATATAATTTATATACTGGGCATAATGATCCCTCAATAATATCATGGTAATCAAATTTTTCAGTAATAAACATTTTATATAGATCAGAATATCGCAACAATATCTTATTACGAAAGTAAGCATGGTCATGAATTGGATTGGATGATACGCCTACCTCTGCGGAGCAGAACACTTTGTGGCTGATTTCTGGATTGTTTTCTTGAGATAACTTTGAACTAGATGAACCGGAAACATGAGATTCAGTAGATATATCATCTGAGGTTACGTGTGCGTGAAGATTCTTCACGCCGATCACTTTCTGATATTCAGTTTGCTCGTTAACTAATCCTACACTAGGTTTTCCAGAGAATAGCTTTATTATGTTTTGGATTTGAACACCTGTTAAACTAGAAATAGCATCAGCACTATACGTAACTTGCTTGATTTTATCTACTCCTATTTCTTTGAACAATGTATAAATATTTCTAGCCTTTTGAGTTTTCTTACGCAAATACTCTCTCTTGATGCCGGGAAGAAATGGTTCCATTTCATTATAAATCTGTGTTCTCGCCATTTGATCATTATGTTCGTTTTTTAAGCTAATGTCTCTGACCTTTATTTCGAATTCCTCACTATAGCAATACCAACGTAATATTTCTTTCTGACCAGTTTTTTTAGCCTTGTCGAATAAATGGGCCAAATGTGATGCAGAACCCGGAGTCTGTGAAGCAGGGTGCTTTGCACTTGAATCATCTCCATCAAGAATTTGTTTATCAGATATGGAATTCGAAAGGCTTTTCTCATTAGTAAATGTAGATAACTCACATATTAAGCCTTGTTCAACCTTTTGATTATAGGGAGTTTTTATTATCGCGGAACAATGAGCTCCGCTCTCAGAAGAAATGGTACTTTGTGTTTGACTAATAGGTTCTGAAGCATTCGGTTCGATTTTAGGTGTAGAATTCTTTTGTATTAGTTCTTGATCTCGAAAAGTAGACGCTTCATTATTTCTTGATAGTTTTTTATCCCGGTTTCTCTCTTTAATTTCATCTCTAATCCATTCTTTATGTGCCCGTTCCAGAAATTCGATTTCTTCACCTTCAGAAGATTTAGTTTCCATGCAAATTGATGATGTGGGATATTTAATTTTTGTCTCAGAATTTGAAGCATTGTCGGATACATTAGAATTTGGGGCATTATGTGCCTTGACACTAGTACTAATTCCGCTATTGAGTTCATCAGAATTTGATGCGTTATTAGTTATATCGGATGCGGGATTATCAACAGAATTTTCCATTTCGGTAAGTGTGGCATTAACGGAAGAATTTTTAATTTCCTTAATTTCATCATCTATCTTTGCCATATGAATTGACTTTTCATTATCTTTCCGCTCGAGATTTACAAACCTAGCTTCATAATCTTTCAAAGTATGTTCTAATTCTATAATTCTAGCTATAAAACCCGCCTCCTTGGTCAAGAATTCAGCCTTTTCTCTTTTTAATTCCGCGATCTCAGCTACAAGTTTGGAATTTTGTTCTTCTAATGAATCGACTTTGGATTGTGTATTTGCCATTTTTATACAAAATCGAATATGTTCAATTAATCGTACGAAAAATGTTAGCAAGTAAAAAACACGAGCGCGTGAAGAATCTTCACGCCAATCACTTTTGCCAAGAAAAAATTCTCAATCAAAATATGCATATATCATCACGAAAAAATGATATACAATGTAACCGATTTTTTACCCGAAATAGTAGTAGTTCATTCACACGAAAAAATAATTCATATTAATATGTACCGATTCTTTATTAATAAAATATATATATGATAAA